ACACACACACACACACACACACACACACACACACACACACACACACACACACTCCTTTAAAGGAATTGGCAAAAACGTTCTTCCCCCCAGACTAGATACATGTCTGTTATCCCCCCTTACTGTATGGCTTTGCTGATCATTAACAAAAGTAGAATTAGTTATTAATTGTGTGTCCAGTGATGTTGGATTTCGGTTTGCAAGACTTTTTATGTTTTTTTTATGATGCATTTTATTTACGTTCTGTTCTGTTGTCCCTCCATCCAAAGCCAGAGAATCTGCTGTATTACAGCATGGATGAAGACTCCAAAATCATGATCAGTGACTTTGGTCTGTCAAAAATTGAGGGCTCTGGCAGTGTGATGTCAACAGCCTGTGGAACTCCTGGATATGTCGGTAAAGGAGTCAAATACTAGAAATCTGTTTATAAAAAGCAACTTTAGGCGTGTACACCACCTTTTTCTCAGATCTCAGCTTTAACACAGTTTAATGGCTCAGAGATGGTGTACTGTGTATGAAAAAGTGAGACTAAGAAGGCTAAGTCTTGTTATATTGTGCCTTAATAGCTATGACCTTGTGTTTCCTCAGCCCCTGAAGTTTTGGCTCAGAAGCCCTACAGTAAAGCAGTTGACTGCTGGTCTATTGGTGTCATAGCATATATTCTGTGAGTACATGTTTTAGATGTATCTTTATACAAGATGAATCACGTCTGCAGAGATACAATATTTTATCAGTCAGGTTTTGATAAGGATTAATCAGAATGCAGCATGTTTTGGATTCAGCAGCAGCAGTGTTAATTTTAACATTCAACTAACAAGCAAAGGATTCATGGTTGGATCCCAGGAATAGACACTAATCCCTTGGTGGTTGCATCAGGAAGGGCACCCAGCATTAAAATCAGCCAAATCAAAACAAGCAGAGCTACTAAATAAAGGAGTGATTAAGGCTTTAGCATCATAGAAAAGCCGAAGCGTGTCTGTAAAGGGAAGTGTCAGCCTGTGCTGTCTCTGTGTTTCAGGCTGTGTGGTTATCCTCCCTTCTATGACGAGAATGATGCCAAACTGTTTGAACAGATCCTGAAAGCAGAATATGAGTTTGATTCTCCGTACTGGGACGATATCTCTGATTCAGGTACAGTACAGACATGAGACCTCTCATAAAGAGCTTTTTGGAACTGATACTTTTCAGGCTGATCACACTGGAAACTGTGATTAAAGAAGGAACACACCCTTTTAACAAAGTTTCCCAAATCACCAGAGGATTGTGTTCTGGGTGTGTGTTGTGGAAACCATCAAATTAATTCATTCTTTTTCTTTGAGGTCAGAAACATCCTCCTCTTTAAATCAAATCTGATAGTTCTGGATTACACAGAAAGAGATGAGCCACTAGAAATTTATTAGAAATTTACATCCTTTTTCTTATATTGTTACAGTCTCAGCCAGTGCTTGTCTGCATTTGTTATTTGGGATTGTACACTCCAGAGTGCTCACATGTCCTGGAGAAACTTCAAAAACTTTCTTTGATACGGTTTCTAGTCATTAAATCACACCTGGAAATTACATTAGATATTGCATTCCACAAGCGACAGGAAGAACATGGTAATTATTTTGTGTCTACACACGTACATGCTGATTTAAATGTTTTACTACAAGTATCTTTGCCAGATTCATAAAATATTGCCTTGTGAATGGGTGGCATTCATCCAATAGTGAATATTGTGAACGGCAGTTTTGCACGCCAATGTTGAATACTTCTCTCTGCAAAACACAGACCCTCACAGTGAGCAGAAAAATCTCCCACCTACCTGACACTCCATTTGACACAGAGTGCCAGACGGAGACTTGATCTTTTTGTTCCTTCCAAGCCTAAAGTTTACCCTGCAGGCGTTTAACTTGCAAGATCAGGCAACGATCAAATGTAAAAAAATAAAATAAAATTCCTACTTTTGACTCTTGGCGTCAAGTTAAAACACTGAAGTATTATTGCATTAATAAGCTTAATCCAGTTTTAGACTGATAGTACAGTATGGTTATTAATCATTCATTAAACATCAGTTTTATGCAGTTGATAATGTTTAAAATGTATATTTTTTTACCTTTTCAGCTAAAGATTTTATAGTACATCTGATGGAGAAAGATCCCAGCATACGTTACACTTGTGAGCAGGCTCTGCAGCACCCCTGGTATGGCTCCTTGTACACATAATTTTTCCAAAGAAGAATAATGTTATTTTGTTAGTTCAAATCTTCAATAATTACACTTAAGTGTTGTAAATATTGTAAGTGTTTGGACTGCATGTCGGTTAACTATGTGTGACCATATCTGTAGAACAATTCCTATCCGGATTCCTATCCGTTATGCACACAAATAAAACACATTCGCACTGAAAGCCATTTCCTCTGTCAGGATTGCTGGGGATACTGCGCTGGACAAGAACATTCACGAGTCTGTCAGTGCGCAGATTAAGAAGAATTTTGCTAAGAGCAAGTGGAAGGTAAGTCTGCCTCCCAGTTCTACTTACATGTTGCATTGTTCTTTTCATTTTTAGCATTAAAGGAGAGGACAGAGATTAAAACTGGTCTGGTTTGCTATATTTTAACTTAACTATACCGGGCAATTAAAAAATGTAATTAGGGTTAGGGATTTCAGCTACAATGACTTGATCCTCGGTGGGTTAAATTGCCATCCAGATCCTAATTTGTCCACAATTGGCAAGTAGATTTTCCTCCTTTCTTGAAGTTTCATTATTGCTTCTCTGCAGCAAGCGTTTAATGCCACAGCAGTGGTTCGTCACATGAGGCGTCTCCAGCTCGGCACGGGACAAGAAGGAGCCAACCCAGCTCATCTGCTGATGCCGGGGGAAGATGCAGGTGGCTCCTCTTTGGCTGTGTGTAACATACTTCACCGTTTTTAATGTCAGGTAGATTCATTACTCATATTGTCTGCTTTATCTCTCCCAGAGGCTTGCTGTGAGGGAGGGTGCTCACAGAACGTCGACAGCGGAGTAGATGCTCTGTCCAACTGTCCAACTTACCGCTGCCACCCGACCAGCAGGGTGTGATCCATACCTGCTCCACCTACTTATCTAATTGATCCCAAGTCACTTTCCAATTTAAACTCCCTCAGTGGCACCAGAGGCGCTGTCTCCCCACTTATCTGGTTGCTGGACTACTGAGTCATTCCAACCTCTCGTCTGCAGGGGGAGCAAGTCAGCCCAGCCTGAAGAGGAAAGTCATAAACCCGGTTGAAAGTGGAGGAGGTGGAAGAATTGATGATAACGATGATGATGCACCACAGTGGGTGATTTTTGGGATGAGTTTAAAAGGAGGAGAGGATACCAAGGAAGTGGGGGAAGGCGAACTTTTCCATCATCGTTCTTGGGGGGGATTGATTTTGCCGAAGCAGAACAGAGCTTGTTGGACACTGTTTTTAATTGTTGCGGTTTTTGTTTTTTCAATTCAATTAGTCTCATTGTTTGTTTTTATTGTTTTGTATATTTGTGTGTTCCTTCCTACTGTTAGACTTTGAAGTACAAATCCAGAAACAATATCTGCATGATCAGGAGAGAATTTCCCAATGCATGCTTTCCTATTTCTAAAAACATACACTGTTTCAGTAATGCAGCATCACAGTACGAAACAAATGACGCAGTGCCAGAACGACGGAGCATTTCTGGCATTTTTTTTGCAGCATTTGAAACAAAAACTGAGTCAAATCTTGTAATATTACAGAGCTGCATTCTGTGTCTTTAAGTCATGCTTTTAGACAATCAGCAACAGAATAGTTTATGCAATGAAAGGTTCCTTTGTTTATTATTTGGGTTTTCTCGTGGTGATACAGTGTTTCCATGCAGTGGTTAGGCTCTCTGAGGGGGAACAGCTTCTCCATTTATCTTTTGTTCACATTTGTTTTTCAACCTTCAACCTCTTTAACCGCTTGCACACAGGGATTTCTCTTTGTCTAAGGTGCCTTTAGGATATACACTATGATGGGTCTATTGGTGAGAGTTGTTGCAACAGAACCTCTTTCTGGAACTTCATATTTTGTACATGTTATACTTTGAGCTTTAAGATGTAGTTTCACGGTTAATTACTGTAATTTTAGACTGGATGCCTGAAGATAAAATGTAAGCTAATGATATTTTTCATTAATTGTTAATGAAAATACAATACGACAAGGTAAATCAACAACAAGGGACAGCTTTGACGCTGGTGTTTACAAAGACCCACTTTACACCCTTCAGTGCATTTTATGTAAGAATAAAAAGTAAATATTTCACATTTATTACATTCAGTTCCCTTTAAAATCCTACATGGACAAACAGAGTTTTATTGGTCCTTTTACTGGCTTTTATAATGAATCTTAGTATGTAAATGCTGGAGAATCTATAAATGTTCATTTAGTGTGTTCATATTGGTTGCTGCAGATGTTAAGGTGTTTTGTGTGCATTTAATTGGATATTCTGTACTTTTGCTCTGGGACCTGTTACAGTGGGTCCTGTCCTGAGCTCAGCACTGTCAAAAGCAGTAAAAGCGATGATCTCTGCCCTCACTGCTCTCTGTCATTGACTTTCAGCTGATCATTCTTGCTCATGTAATTTAGTGCTGGTTACATATGTTTGCATGATGTTGTTTGAAAATTGTGACCGTTTCTTAAATTGTACAGCCACCATGAGATGAATGCAGATAAAAGGAAGATGTTTCTTTTTATTTGACAATCGTTTAATCCAAATCCTGTCATGCAAATGAGTAAAGGGCAAAGAAAAAAAAATAGTACTAACATTTCAATAGGTTCAAACGAGTTTAGTGTGCTGCTTCAAAAAATAATTTTTGAAATTTTCTGCATATATTTGGCTAAACATTGTACTGTATTTAGATGGTAAAAAAATGACAAATTATTTTTTTCAGGAATTTGTTGTTGTTTTGCGTGAGTTGTTTGTATGTCATGAAGCAGAGGAAAGCACACAGACGTGCACAGACTAATTTTGGAGCAGTCAATATTAAAACTGATCCCGTGCTAATGAAAACAGCTCTAATTTGAGTCGTTGTTGGCCGTGTCTCCTTTAGACAGCTACAACACAATAAATAAAAAAAGAAATGGATTTAAAATGTTACTTCAAACCCTCCATGTAAATATTCTTTTCTTTTAGCTGCTCCTTTTAGGGGACACCACAGCAGATCACATTGCTCTCTCACCCCATCACTTGCATAACCCTTTACATGTCCTCCTCCATTAAATTAAAAACTTAATACCCATAGAAAACATATTGCAGGAAAAAAAAAATCTAGTGATGATGAATAAGAAGATGGTTTGTTGTATTTAACATGCAAAAAAATACTAACAGAAGTCCTTGAAAGTTCTAATTTGATTCTCTGCTGAGGCAACAAATTGAAATGTGCAAGGAAATTAAAGATTTTTACATCCGAGGGTAATAAAACACATGATGGGGAAATATAACTGTTATCTGCTCAGTCAGCCGTGTTTGTAGGAAAACTGCCGGAATGATATCGGGAACATGTAGGGAAAGGATGTGCTAATGACCTCACAGTTGGTTTCATACGTTGCTACTGCTCTTGACAAATTTCATTTATATATTTTACACTGCGCCAGTCTAAAGGAGCGAGACAGCCTTTCTCCTCTAACAGCTTGTAGAGAATGACCAGTGAGTGGTGACAGTTTGTTCTGAGTGTTTGTACCATAATTATGTTGCCTTTTAATAAATGCTGTTTTGGGCTGCAGTACCTACTGTATACACAGATGCAATGCATCATGGGTTGTTGAAAAGTGACTATTGCTTAGTGTGAAAGCCAGTGATTTGTAAGGGAAGCATACATTAAAATCCTTGTCTATGCATTATGGAAATGAGTTTGTTTGTCCGGGGAAAAAATACATGTTGAATGCTACATTTATGCTTAATATGTAGAGTTCAAGTGTGCTGGAAAGTGGAATAAAAGGATTTCATCTAAGGTTAAATGACACCTCAGCACATGTTTTATATCATTAGTTATGATGTTAACTAATGCACTGACTTAAGATTTAATGCATTTACATATTCGATTTAAAAGGAGTTAGCTCGATTAAACACAAAACCTTAAAATCAAAAAATTGAATTTTTTCATTAGTCTGATTTTTAGTTTATTTTTTTTAATTCAGCAGGATTGTTGGTTGTTACTTTCTGTCAGTTTACTACTAAATAACCAGTTATATGTTTCGGTTACAGTACACAGCTGGGGAGGATGTGAAAGTAATTTTAATTTCATTAGGCTAAAGGCAAACTCCTGCTAGCGTTAATTACCACAACAGGTTTTTGTCTTGTTGTGAATACACAGCACTGTGCAAAAGTCTTGAGCCCCTAATAATTTCTTTATTTTATGCTAGGAATATAATAGGAATGTGTGCAGTGATTTACTGAAAGGTTCACACATACATGGGGGTACAGTATATAGGACAAAAACAGTTTGAAAGTCAATATTTGCTGTGACCACCTTTACTCTGAAACAGTCAACTTTCTTTAAGTAGTCTTCAGAAATAGTTCTCTGGGCTTCCTGAAGGGCATTCAAAGCTCTTCTTCAGATGTTGGTTGCATTTTCTTCCCACGCTGCTTCAATTGTCATGCTGAAAAATTAACCCACTGCCAGTCAGATGCTTTCCAGATGGTATTATATGATGGATCAAAATCTGATGTTGCTTTTCTTCATTCATAATTCCATCAGTTTTGGCAAGATCTCTGTTGTGATATTTTGATATCATGGTAGCATTTACAGGATATTGTTTTATAGTGATATTATACAGGAAAACTGTTACTCAATAAGGCCCATTTACTAGTTTTTTTTCTCTTTCTCTCTGACCCAAGAATTAATGTGTAAGACTCACAGGCTGGTACCCCAAGGTCGAAAATACCACAGAGACGAGACCACTTCCTTACTCCCATCCTCCCTTCTTTATCTCCTAGAAAAGAGCTTGTTAAAGGCCAGGTGGTTTGTTTCAGAATTCACTAATGAAAGAACTCTGTATTCTAGGAGTGTATTTTGCTGGGATGATCATAAATTGTAGCTGAACTGATAAACTACACAAAGGATACTTCTCTGCTCACAAGGCAGGAAGACGTTTCCTTATTTGGTCTGTACCGGTCTGAACTGAGAATCTGCTGACACACGAACCTTTTTCCTCTATATATACTGTTGTCTGATGAATAAACCTTTGAGTTGATTCTGGAAGAGCAACCTGAAGCAGTTTCTGTGTCATTTTGTTCTCCCAAGCTACTCCCGGCGCTGTAACTAACCTGCTGAACGGCATACCTGAGTGTTACTTTGAATAATTAGGAGTATTATAAGGAAAGGACAAAACTCTGCTTATCGCTCACGCCACGGAGGAAACCCGGGACGGAAATTTCCTTCAATCTCCAACACTACTGGCTGTCAAACCGTGAAAGAACCTCCATCTTGTTACACATTATGTTATCACTTCATTAGAGTGTTGAAGCTGAATTTGAAGAGTCACAGTGGTGTGGTGGTTAGCACTGTTGCCTCAGGAAGGTGCCATCTGGGCCTTTTCTGTGTGGAGTTTACATATTTGTCCTGTGCACATGTGGGTCTCCCCCCAATCCAAATGATGGATGGCACTCCATAAGTCCTGTTGCCACTAATTTTCAGTCCAGTTCTTGTGTAATCTGGCATATCGCAGCCTTTTTTCCCTGTTTCCTTTCCTTAAGAATGGCTTCTTGGCAGCCACCCTTCCACTGAGACCATTTTCTGATGACGCGTCAGTGAACAGTAGTTGGCTCAACTGAAAGGACCATATGCGTCTCTCAGGTCCTGTGTCTGGTCTTTTCTTATTTCTTAAAGATGTGACTTTGTAAATTTCCCAGACACAGTATAAATGCACAAACAGTAAGCCCCCATTCTGCCCTTTGATATATTTTTTTTCTAAGTCTTAAGAGCTGTTTCAAAATCAGTCTTATTCTTTGTCTCGAACGGCAAATCTGCAAAACAATAACACTACAATGGAAGTGCTACTTTACATTTCAGTGGTGAAATTCAGCAACAGTTGATCTCATGAAACAGTTCTGTGACTTGAGAGGTTCCTCATGAATGTTAATTTAACAGTCTGCTACTTGAAGCCTCTCTCATCCTCTCCAAGGAATGCTGGGTAACTGCGGCTTGCGGTTTGGCCGCCAGAGCGATGCGCTGGTGGGAGAGCGGAGAGTGAGAAAGAATCTGGTGGTCGACCTCATTCAGGAGACAGTAGACGAGTAAAAATTATGTGGTCAAACCATGAACACGGGAATGATTCAAAAATAATGGGGGATAAATTTCACTGATCACAAGGTAGAAAGTGCTGAAAGAAGCAGTTTATTTATTTTTAGATGTGCAAGACTGAGGGAAAGTGAAACCTGACACGACAAACTTGTAAAACTAAGGCAAGGATGCACATCTTCATACTGGGGTTCAATTCCCATTAAAACAGAAAAACAAAAGCATCAGCACGCTGGTGAGGATTGTGCATAGTCCACATCCTCCTCGCAGCACATGCCGTTGCCCATGCTTGTAAGGAATGTGAAACGCAGACTTGATGCAGTTAAGAGCCAAAAGAGAGCAACACTGCTATGACAGACTTGGTCTCATCATTTTCAGGTTGATTTATCTGCTGATGTTGAAAGCTGCAACGATTTATGTGTCGCGAACAGGGCCCAAATCAGACCTTAAAAAAACGCTCCACCCAAACAGTGTCACAGCACTGTGAAGACGTGGTGAATAGGTAAATAACTATGTCAGCATGCTCGAAATTTCTAAAT